GCCCCTCTGATGGGGGTCAGAAGGAGACCCCCTGGTATTTCCATTCTGGAACCGGCCTGGGGCTAATGTGACCGAGGCTGGCCGGGAGCCCTAGCTGGCCATCGATTACCCCACCCTCATGTGTCATCTGGGTGGCCCTTCTGCCTGCATGGTCACTGACACAGAGGGGCACTGACTCAGTCCCAGTACTCAGGGCCTCCTAAAGGCCCATGAGCCTGGGAACTCAAACTCCTGGGTTCAATTAGATCTTGACTCACTGCTTGACCCAAAAGGAGTCACTTCCCTTCCCAGACCCTCAGGGGAATGGAGAATGAGGATCTTCTGGGGAAGGATGAGCCCCCTCTGGCAAGAGAATCTGGCAGAAACCAGAGCATTCCTGAAAATAAAAAAAAAAAAAGCCACTTCCTGGAGTGACTTGTCCACCTGCTCCCATTCCCTTACATTGTTTCTATTCTTTCCTAACTCTTTTCTCCCACCACCTCCCTTTTCCTGTTCCTTCCTTCCCATCCCAGCTTTGCTTGACCTCTCTAGGCTTCTTTGACCCCCCTCTCCCCATGTAAGGTAGGTGTGACATACTGTTTGTCCATCCCTACTATATGGTAACAGCTTCTATTTTGAAGACCCAGGCAACCAAATAAAATGGGAGTTTTCCGGGAAACTTGAAATAAAAATCCCTCTAGCTCTGGGAATCTAGCATATGGCTCACCTTTGGGGTTTCATCTTTGAATGGCCAAATGTTTGGAGATGATGCCCTTTATAAAGTCTGGAATATCAAAGGGACCTGGACCAGATTAAGACGTAAGGACAGTGTTCCCATTTCACAGCCTCATGCCAACCTGGGATGCCCTCATTCCCCAGCAATGTGTCTACTCCTGGCCACTTTTCAAAGGATACTGGTGGCAAGAGAATTATGGCTGGCACTGAATACCCCCTGCCTGCCAGCCTGCCTGACTCTGACCAGCTCCCTGCCAGACCTCTGGGGCATTCCATTCCTCCATGCCAAAACTCTCCCAACCTGCCATCAGGTAGAACATGCCCCTGCTGCCACCAGGTCAGGCAGAAGGGCATTGTGAGGGCACCCAGAAAGCACAGCCCCTGAATGCTACCGATCAGCTCTTCCAAGTCCAGCCAGCCCTCCAGGAGAGGCAGTGTTGCCCCAGCTCATCCAAATGTCAGGGTACCCTGGCATCAAGTCAGGACGTGCATGAGGTCCAAGGAGCGCTAAGTTGGCAGCAATGCCATCTGGAAACTGTCAACTTCAGAGAGCCAGCTCAGAGGCCAAGCTCTGCTACATTTTGATCTTTTTTAAAAGAAACTTACATTTATAGGAAAAAGCACTGAGTCCAAGCCCCTGGAGGGATACTCCACAGTATGTTTTGAGGGGGAAAGGGGACGAGATACTAGAGTGGAAAAGGCAAACAGACCTGATTCAGAGCACAGCACAGGACATTTTTCTTTCCCAGACCCTGGGAACTCTAAGTGTTTCTTCCTAAGATTCTAGGAATCCACAGTCATCCATCCGTTCCCATTCTTTCCTTCTTGTCCCCTCCCCAGCCATCATTCTTTGTTACAGCTATAATAATAATAACCACTAACATTGACATAGTGCTTTCAAAGTTTACAAAGCACTTCATATGCATTATTTCATTTGCTCTCAAAGCACCCCACAGAGGTTGGTGCCACCAGACTGAGAAACAGAGAGCTTAAGTATGGCCCAGGGTCACACAGCTATTAGGGGTTAGAGACAGTTTCTAACCCAAGTTGATCCAGATTCCAAGTCTAGCATATACTACACTGGCTCTCAGGCCTGAAGTGACTTCCAAAGCTTTCATCTATTTATTCCAGCTTCAAGGTTGGTCCCTGCACCAGAGACTGGCCTCCTACTTCTCTCCCTGCCCCCCCCCCCCCCCATTCTAGCCTGCTTCACTAGAGGACCATCACACACTAGAGATCATGGATTTATAATTTATTACATTCAAACCCAATAGAATTTGTATTTGCTTTCATAGTCCTGACACCTCCCACAGAGCCTGCCACACAGCTGGTTGGCTAATTATTGATTGCTTGCTTTAGATATGGAGGGAACCTTGGAGGTCACCTAGTCATAGCATCAGGGAACTTCAAAATTGAGAAGGAGCCCAGGTGCCGTCGAGGCTCACCTGTACCCCCGAAAGAATCCCCTCTACAATCCCAGTGGTAATCCAGCCCCTGCTTGAATACTTCTGGTGATGGGGAACCCACGACTTCTAGAGTTCCCCTTTGAGCAGTCCTAATAGCAAGGAAGGTCTTGCTTACAAGGAACCTCAATCTTTGTCTTTACAATTTCTACCCATCATTCCCAGTTCTGTATCACCTAGCCCTTTCATTTTACAAATCAGGAAACTGAGGCCCAGAGAAGGGAAATGAGCTCCCCAAGGTCACACTTAGTTGAGTGAGAACTAGAACCCAGGGCCTCCAACTCCACAGATCCAGGGTTCTCTCCAGCCCACCACACGGCCTCGACTTTGTAGTAAGATGGTCAGATGAATGAGAACCCCTCCTTTTCCCCCTTCTCCTTTTCCTAACACATAGAGCAGTGGGAAGGGAGGCCAGATCTTCATGACCTAGATTCAAACCCCAGCTCTGCTACCTCGTGAGATCTTGAGCAAGTCTCTGGGCCTCAGTTTCTTCCTCTGTAAAATGGTGGGGCATCTGCTGTCCCTTCCAGCCCTGGGTCTGTCCGGGATTCCCCAGATCTCAGAGGCCATCTACGCCAAGCCCTTCATTGTAGAGATAACGAAGCAGGAGCTCAGAGAGGTACAGAGCTGGAGGGGACCTTAAAGGGCAGCTAGTCTAAGCCTCCCATTTTACAGAGGAAAAAGCTGAGGCTCAGTGAGGTGAGTGACTCTTCCAAGGTCACACAATCATCAAAACTGGTGTTTGAACCCAGTACCCCATCTGTTACACTATGGCTCCTTCCAGCTCTAAATCTTATGAATTCATATGACAATAAATAGAAAGGGGGGTCTGCCACCCTCTACCTCTGCCCAAAACCCTACTTTGGACTGGGATGCTGGCTGATGCCACAGTAAAGGCTCACTCCAAAGCAGCCCTGAAGGACTTTGAAAGGAGACTACTGTCCTGCTCTCTCTCCTAGAAAGTACTCTGAAAGTATTTGAGAGAGATGGGAATCCTCTGTAGTTTTTCTCAGAGGCCCAGAATTTAAATTTCTACTCTGGGAGATATCCCAGGGTTCCTCTGGGGCACCCATCTCCCTTGCCATCCTGGGACTGAAATGTTTAAAGCCCCATCTGTGTTCCCTTAAATTCACCCAGTGAGGGTTGGCTCAGTCAAATGATCCTGGGCTGCTCTCTCATCTGCCAGCTGAGAATTGCGACAGCTGTGGGGAGGTGCCCCCTCCAAGTCCTGAGATTGGGGGAATTGGAAGGGAAGACCACAAGATCATAGGTTTAGAGCTGGAAGGGACCTTGGAGAACATCTAATCCAGCTTCCTCATTTTACAAATCAGGAAACTGAGTCCCAGACTAGGGAAGTGACTTGCCCAAAGTTGCTCAGCTTTTAAATGGCAGACTTTGATGGGCCTTTGACTCCAAAGCCAAGTTCTATGGCTTAGACTACAAAAGACAAACAGAGAGATAAGATCTTTAAGTAGAGTGCCTGTTCTTCCTCTAGGCTGATCCAAGACACCCTAGGAACTCCCCCTTCCTCATCTTGGGGCCCAGCAGTCAGACAGTCGGTCAGCAAGCATTTAAGTGCCTGGGTACCCTCCTTTACTATCTCCCGGCTGGAGGGGGGGGGGGGGGGTGGGGGGGGGGGGTGTTAGGAGGGGGAGGGTGGGGGAATGTCAAAAGAGGATGGGGAAGAGAAACAAGGAAATATGGTAATCAGGAAAATGAGCCAGGACTTCGATGAGTGCCCCCCACTCTAAGTTCCTCAAATCCTCAAATGTCCCCAGGCGCGCCCCCCCCCAACACACCAAGACTGGCAGGAGGGGATTTCTGAGAGACACATGACAGTCACCTAAAATACCCTTGTCTGTGGGGAATGACCAAAAGCTTTGACAACCTTCTCCCACGTTCTTTCCTGGGGAAACACCTCTGGTAACATACCCTGACCCACAGCCCGCCCTGCCTGCCCTGAGAGACACAGCTTTCAACCAAGTTTGGGAAAAGTGGGTGGATCCTGCCGAAAATAATTCAGGTGCTCTTGGTGGGGGTCGGTTCCATGGAAGGGCTGCTAGTCTCAAGGACTTTCTTTCCTGAGGTCTCCTCTCCAAGGCTACCACTCCCACAAAGGTATTTGGAGTACAGAAGACAGGATGGAGAAGGGTGCTTAAGTGGACGAAGAGGGGAGGGCTTGCCCTCCCCTCTTCTTGCCCAGGGCCCCACTCTGTCCCCTCACCCCAGATTTATTTCCTTGTCAAAAGGAAAAGGGACATAGGATAAGAAACCGAAGCTCCCCGCAGCCTCCCCAGTCTAGGCTGAGAGTCCCCGGGGGCCGGCAGACTATACTTTCACTTTCTAGAAACTCACGGCAGGGAAGACTCCCTCTTCCCAAGAGCACACCCACACTCAGCCTTCTCCCTGACTGACCCTTTTGCCAAGACCTGGTCAGCTTACCTCCCTCGCTCCCCGGGACTCAGGTTGGGGCTGTTAAGCAGACAGTGTCCCCACCAGCAGCCATCAGTGCCTTAAAAACCAGCCCCCCACCGATTTGCAAACCCCTTCCGCCCTTGCCTGGGGCTGTAACACGTGGGTGGGTGGGCGAGAGGAATGGGGTTAGTTTCCAAGTCGGAGTGCGCTGGTCCTCAGCCGCAGCACCCTAACTGGGGGGCGGGAGGGGTGTAGAGAGCAGAAAAAGAAGGACTCGGAAAGCTGAGGCTGAGCACAAGCGGATGAGAGAGTGCCCACCACCTTTGGGGCATCAGTCCCATGATCCCCATGTCCTCCCTTGCCCCTGAGACGGATCTCTCGCTAGGAGCCAGCTTTTGGGAGCCTTACCTGAGACAGAAGCCGTGGGGGTGTAGCCGGTCCATGGTCTCACTTGTCACCAGCGTCTTCTCCCACTCCTCCCAAAATCCAGTTGCCCCTTAAGCTCTCTCTCTCTCTCTCTCTCTCTCTCTTTCTCTCTCTCTCTCTCTCTCTCTCTCTCGTCCCTCTCTCTCTCGTCCCTCTCTCTCTCCTCTCACACACGCACACACACACACACATACACACAACACACACACACACACACACACACACACACACACACACATACACACGCACACTCACATCAGGCTCAGGAAGGAAACCCGGACTCGGAAAATGGCCAAGGTCTCATCATTTCCGCTGACAGCGCTTGACAGTTGAAGATGAGTCCCGGGGCCAAGCAAACTTTGCCGGCGGTCAAGCGGGACCCGGCAGCGAGCCGGGCTGGAACGGGCTGCAAGCGGCGGCCTGGGCTGAGCCCTCGCTCGGGCTGGGAGAGCTCAGAGGAAGGCGGAGAGGACAAGAGAAGGAGCAGAAGGCAGTAGCGGCGGCGGCTCGGCCAGCAGAGCCCATGCCTCCCTCCGTCTGTCCCTCCCTCCGTCTGTCCCTCCCTCCGTCTGTCCCTCCCTCCGTCCCTCCCTCTCTCCCTCCCGCCGGTTACGTAAAAAGGATCATTGCTCTGACGGACTAGAGGCCCGAAGGACGGCAGGGGGTGTGTGCCAGGCGCGCCGCGTCCCCTCCCCTGCCAGTGGCTACGGGCTCGGATTTGGGGAGCGCTGAGGCTGGATGGAGGGGGGGGGCACTGCAGGCTGGCACCCCAGACGGGGAAGCCGAGCCAACAGAGGAGGCAGAAGCAGCTGGGGCCTCGGGGGCTCTGGGCCTCGGGGAGGAGTTTGGACTCGCGCCCACGCCTCTTTCCCGAGACCTGGTCACCCCGAGGGGTTAGGATCTAGAGGGCCAAGCTCCCTAGCTTCCCATAGCATCACCCCTCTCTCACCTTGGGGGGTTTGGGAAGGACAGCTGAGCGTGCCCGGCTCCCTCCACCGAGGGCTGCCCTCAGCCCACCTGCATTCCCCAAGGCTACCCAAGAACACGTGCCAGGGACCCAGGACCCTGGGAAGCCATTGAGCCATCGCCCCTTCCCTGCAACCACACGCGGCGGCCTGACTCCAAGTGCCCCTCGCCTGGATTAGAGCTGCCCCTGACCCAACGCAAGCAAACCTAACGAGTCTCACATACGTCGCCCTAAAAGGAATGCCAATATTCCAGTTACCACAGATAAGAAAACTGAGGCCCAGGGAAGGGCAGGTTGACACACAGCTGATGTTATGCCAGAGCTTCCCAGCGATCCTTGCTCCTTTCCCAGTGCCTCGCACACAGTTGGTGCATGATAAATGTCTGTGGAACCCGCTACTCTCTGTTCCAGGTATAGAGGAAATAACTTAGCCGAAGTCTTCTCGTCGGGCTTCAGAGTCCTACACAATCTAGTGCACCCGTAGTCTCCTCCCCAAGCTCAAACCTTGGCTCCAGTAAAGGCTGTCTAGAGATTCTGACACCCCCTGCTCAGCCCTCCTCACCCCTGCAGCCACTTACTCTCTCTTTACTCTCTTAGGGAGCACTTACTCGCCCTGCTCGGTAGCAGGATACAGACGTGCCCTTCTCAGACGTGCCAGTCTTCTCTCCCCGGGAGATTTTTAAAATTCCCCTTAGCAGAGGTGGTGTCTTCCACCTTGTGTCTTCCTCCGGGGAGCCTCGCCCAGTGCCAGGCACATGGCAAGGTCTCCATGGACGCTCTTGGGAGGAGGGCAAGAAAGCAGCCTGGGTAAGTGGAGATGCTCGCCTCCGGTGGGGGGGGGGGGGGGGGGGATGGTAGCGGGCGGGGACGGGGGGGGGGGGGGGGGGGTGGGGGGGGGGGCGGTGGTGCGGGCGGGGGGGCGGGGCGGGGGGGGGGGTGGTATACAGAAATAATTTAAAACTAGTCCCACCCTTCAATGAGCTTCCATTCTCTTGGGGTAGTCCAACTTGTAAACAAATAAGAAAACTGAGGATAATTTTCCCCGGCTTGCCCAGGTGGCGGAAAAGTTGGAAAACTTTCCAAAGTGGAGGAAATTTGGTTCCGCCGGATTAGCGAGAGAATCGCTCGCAATGGAAGGGCCGGAGCCCCGATTTACAGGTCTGGGGCTCTGCAGTTCTGAGCAGGGGCAGTCCTTTGAAGCAGCAGATTAGGGGGAGCGCCCCACACCTGCCCAGCCCAGAGGCCGCCTTCCTGGTTCGATGTTTGGGGCGCCCACTGCCCCAGAGCGTCCAGGAGATGGGGGAGGAGATGCGAAGAGCGACTGAGTGGAGCCCAGGGAAGGTCCGAATGCGTTTCAAGGACCTGCGGCACACCCGGCACACTGTGTGACTGCTTTCATTTTCGCTTTTGAGACTTGAGAGAGTCCCTGGGAGGGACAGGGAAGCCTCCTGGCAGCGTGCGCGTAGGGTCCGAGGGGTACGAAGAGCAGGGCTATGCGGCAAGACTGCCTTCATCTCACCCCACCCCCAAGATCTCCACCTTTCAAATGCTGCCCCCAAGACCCAGCACCCGAGCTCTCCTGCACTGGTGAAGACAGCCTGCCCATGCGGTCATCCCTGACACCCCACCGAGAGTTCTCATGAGGAGCTGCCCTGGAACTCCCTACCTCTACAGCTTTGCCCCAGCGGTACCAACTCAGGGCTTCCCTGCAATACTGACCTTGCACCACATCCCCAGCAGGGTTCCTCTTGATGCCCAGACCCTGGGATCCCTGGAGGGATTTGACCCAGATCATTTTACTCAGGCCCTTCCCCGCCCCCTGCACTGGTGACCCCACCTTCCCGCAGAGCTGCCCCAGGCCCGGTGGGCAGGAGTTTACTGCTCTCCAGCTGGAGAAGTGGACCTTGGTCCGAAGCAGTGGGGGTGGCCGATGAGGGGTTTCTGTCAACCGCAGAAAGATTGTTGGGTCTGGGGGAATCTGGATTCGAATTCTAGTCCCTTCAAGGATCTTTAGTTTCATCCTCTGTAAAATAAGGGGTCAGACACTAGGTGACTTCCTAGGTCTCTGCTGGTCCTAAATCTTGTGAGTCTGTGATCAATTTTTAACCAACCAACAAGCATTTATTAAGTGCCTACTAAGCACCAGGCACTGGGCTAGGCACTGGGGATACAAAGATAGAAATGATGGCCTCTCAGGCCTGGCCAGAACACCCCATTGGACTGTTCCATTTAAGAAGCCCCATAGTTGGATGGAAAGAACACAGAGGATTTATGTTCCAATCCTGGCCTTGCTATTAACTGCCTATGCGACTTTGGGCAAATCCCTTGATTTCTCCTATCCTGTTTCTTCCTCTGTAAAACCGTGGTGTTGGAGTAGATGACCTCCAAGTACCCTTCCAGCTCTGGATCTGAGACAGTATCATTCCCCAAGCCAAGGAACAAAATTCTGCGACTTTGTGACAAGTTGTGACAACACGAGAGGGGCCTGGAGTAGAAACATTGTTTCTCATTCCCCAGAGCACCTGGGGAAAGAGTTTCAGTTCAAACTCTTACTTTCTCCACATCTTTTTCCCTCCCCTCAGAGATCTTCTGCTTACCCTCCAGCCTCATGGATCAACCAAGAAGGCCTCTTCGAATTTACTCCATGTGCAAGTATTTTATTTCATGAATTTAAAGACATGATTTGGAGAAGGGGTCCAGAGGCTGCCCAAGAGGGCCAGGGCACAAAAAGAGAAGAATCCAGGGCTAGAAGGGCTCTTAGTCTGGTCTGTTTCCCTTATTTGGTGATTCTCAAATCGATTTCTTCTGCCCTCTCTGCTGACCTCCAGTCTCATATCTACAACTACCTTCCATACATCTTGAACTGGATGTGCTGTAGATGTTTTAAACTCAGTGTGCCCAGGATGGGGCAGCTAGGTGGCGCAGTGGATACAGCACCAGCCCTGAAGTCAGGAGGGCCTGGGTTCAAATCCAGCCTCAGACCAAACACTTGACACTTACTAGCTGTGTGACCCTGGGTAAGTCACTTAACCCCAATTGCCTTAAAAAACAAAACACAACAAAAAACAAAAACTTCAGCATGTCCAAAACTCAGCCTTCCCTATTACTGTATGTACCATCGTTCATCCTTCCAGTGCTCAGACTGGAAACCTAGGTATAATCCTCAGCTTCTCACTCCCTCTCACCCTCGTATGGAATGCACCTTTGCAGCATCTCTCAACTTGGCCTTCTTCTGTCTTCTGGCACTGCCCCCACCCCAACGCAGGCCCTCATCATCTCAGGTCTGGACTGTTGTGATAGCTGTTGGCGGGTCTGCCTGACTGAACTATGTCTCCGCTATAGTCCATCCTGACCCTTGGATTCCTTCAGGTCCCAATGAAAATCCCACCTTCTACAGGAAGCTTTCCCCAATCCTTCATTGTAGTACCTTCCCTCTGTTAATTTTCTTTTATCCTATCTGCAGCTTGTGTGTACATATCTGTTTGCTTGTTGTCCCCCTCATTAGATTGTAAGCTCCTTAAGGGCAGGGACTCTCTTTTGCCTCTTTTTGTATCCCCATAGCTTAACACAGTGACTGGCACATAGTAGGTGCTTAATAAGTGTTTATTGATTGATTTCCTATTTATTCTGTCTATAGCTTGCTTTTACCTATTTGTTTGCTTATTGCTCTTCATTTGATTGTAAGCTCCTTGAGGGCAGAGACTATATTTTGCCTCTTCTTGTTTCCCCAGTGCTTAACATGGTGACTGGTACATAATAGGCACTGAATAAATGTTTATAGGCTGACTGACTGATTATTTTACAGATGAAGAAACTGAGAACTTGAGTTATTAATTACTCACCCTACCTATAGTAAATGGAAGAGCTAGAATTTGAACTCAGGTCCTAGGACTTGACACTTAGCACTCTTTCCGCAGCACCACACAATTTTAGAACTGGCAGGAATCTTAGACATCATTTAGTCCATACCATTTTATTTTTTTCTACCTTATTTTTATTAATTATCTTTTGTCTTTATATTACCTTCTTTTCTGAATTATTTCCCTCCTCACTCTCCTATACAGCCAGTCATCTCTTATAAAAATAAATTAATAAACCAACCGAACAAACTTTACACATTAATCTCATCTGATAGCGTATGCAACATTCTACATCCACAGTCCCCCACCTCCAAAATTAAGAGT